TGGCTACTGTGACGACCACGGCCACTGCAACCTCTACTCATATGGGTCCTTTATTAATGGCTAATGCTCAAGTGTGCAAGGTCAAAGACGGGGACGATACCTTCGTCCCTATTCCAGGCATGGAGGAGGCAAGCCTTAAAATCTTTTAGTCCCAGGTACTTCTTCCTTTCACTCTTGCAGATGGTAGTACTCATGCTTTTTTAGGTCCATTCATGGGTCAAAATAAGAAAAAATTTGGGAATACCTTGTTACCTGAAGACTCGTTTACCTTACCCTTCATCCATTCTTCAGAAATAGATCTGTCTTTGTTTAGCGATACTACTAAGATTTTTAGGGCTTTTCCCCTGTTAAAGATAGGCATCTACAATGGTTACTTCGTGTAGAAAAAGCAATGAGCTCTTCTTTCTGCTTGAAACTCAGGGGCCTCGCCTGGCTCTAACTCGACCCTTCTCTCAAGAATAAATTTCTTTGCACTCACTGACTCAAAGTGCTTTTCGTTGCGTTCTGTGAGGAAGATATCAGAATAAGGTCGAGATGGTTTACGCGGAGTTTGCCCTGATTTGCTCTGACGCGGGCGTTTGCTGGATAAGAAGACTTATATAGCTTTCATTAATGCTCATGTAGGACAACCTGGTACCCCTGTTTCAGAGTCTGAACATATCGCTTTTTTGATGTATTGGTTATCTGCTTGTGTTTTTTGTACTCCCTCTCTTCAGGTTCCGAAATATTATTACGTTTTAGCACAAGCCTTACACTTAAAAAAGAAGATTTGTTTAAGTAAACTTTTATTAGCTTCTCTATATACATGTCTCGATGAAGCCTCGGAAAGCCTTTTCCGAGAGTCTGGCCCTCAAAACCTCTCTGGACCCTTATGGCTACTACAATTATGGTTGAATGCAATTTTGGAAAGAAAACTTTCACTGACCTCGTCTTTCACTCCAACATGGGAATGCATGCACTCCTACATTCAAGATAACCACTTTTTTGACCTCAAGAAAGCACCCCTTGTAGAAGCACTACAAGAAAATTAATTTTTAGTGATAACTACATTTGTCACTAAAAGCTTAAAAATTCATCACTATAAGCATTTTGTGACAATATTTTGGTTTGTCACCGATCGTCACTAATACGCGAGTCACTATTAAATTAGTGACGATTTTTCGAATATCACAAATATTAGTGTTTATTGTGAGAAAATTGTTGTCACTAATATTTATATGTAATAGTGACAAAATCAAGTTGTCACAAATATATACAATATAATAGTGATAAGTTAATTGCCACTATTAAGAGTTTTAAATCATAAATATATTATCATTAGTGTCAAAGTGTCTTGTCACAACTAGTAATTATTATTTAAAATAATTTAATAATAATATAGTTATTTTTTTTGTCTTTAATTTCATTTTCTAATTATGATATTGATTTAAATTTTATCTATAATTATTTACTTTTTCTATACAAATTACTCTATTATATTACCTTTTCAAAATTAAATCAATCTTACAATATCAATTCAAAATTTGAAACTTATACCCAATAATTCATTCATTTATACAAAAATGTATTAACAAAATACACAAAAAATAGCTTAAAAAATTATAATATAAATTTGCTCATAATATTTATTTTAACAAAATGTAAATAAAACTAATCAATAAATATTCTTTGTCATTATTACAAAAGAAAATGTAAAAAAGAAAATTATTGGGTATATATTCTTCTAAGAATAGCCATAAACTTGCTTGTTAGCAAAAACATTCCATCATTCCTTCCAAGTCTTAGCTGCTTAATATTGTTCGTAATGTCTATGAATATGTTAATCAAAGAGATGGCACCAATTCTTAGTCCCACTAGATGGGTTACATCATAATTTTTGAAGTCTTGTGTTGCGGCTCCATAAGTTCCATTTGTTAATAGCCCTTACACCTGCAACTAATTTAAGTTTCACTAGGATTAGAATGAAGTCATTTTACCAAATTTTAGTATCACAATTAATGTATATTTTCATGATAATATATTTATTTTAATCATATATTTAAAAGAACATTAAAAATAACTCAACATACCTTATAACTGTTCAAAGAAAACATCTTTGATCCCCACGTGCTAGTTAACATACCTGCATCAATTATATAGATGTAGTAATAAACATTATTCAATGAACAACATCAATTTTAAATAATGTTTGAAGTAGTATTTTTTCATGCAAAATTCAACTCATGGAAATAATCTTCAATTGTGATATTAAGTTTCACAAAATCTAAACGTGAATGCTTTTAAGTAACTTACAAAACAAGATTAAGAAAAATCAAGAATATTCTAATACAGTATAAGAATTATTGAATTTGCATACCCAAATAAAACAATAAAACAACATAAATTCATAATAACATAAAAAGCCCAGAACCCTCTTGGAAATGTTCCACACACTTAATTAAGATTACGGGGAAAAAATATTTCCACAACAAATATCCAAATAAAAAAATCAAAATTTATTATCTTTCCTATATTGTTTCCAAGTTCCATCAAATCTAGTGACATAAAAGAAAAAAAATAAGATACCTTTTTTGTGTAAGCAGACTCAGAATGTACCGTGAGATATCGAACATTGACGATGATTCTAAAATGTCTTGCTGGAAAATATTATTGCGAAGTTATAATTTTTTTCTTGACAATTCGAAACCTATGTTTTTGGAATCAAGAGAGGGATTTGGAGGGAGGTGCCCAAAGAGTCAAGGTTCGAAGCAGTGAGGCAGAAGGAAATTCATAATTTTTTGGAGAAGGAAGCAATAACCGTATGGAAAATAAAAACTGAAAATCAAATACGGCAAGAAAATAGACGAATAAAAAGATCGTGGATGCATAATGGCGGAAAGATAAATTCTTAGCAAGCGGTAGTGAAATGTAAATTACTCTGAATTTTAATATAGTGTTAAATTAATAATATTTTATTCTTTGGTACACTAGCTTTTAAGATTAGTAAGGTCTTAATAAATCTTTATGTTTTTAGAACAAGTTTTAATGAATCTTAATCTAGTATTGTTTGGATATTTTAATAAACTAGTAATTTAATATGTAGAATGCATAAATACATCTTTTACATATAGTTAAAGTTTACAATAAATTATATATATATATATATAA